AGCGACACAAGTTCTTTACTTATAAACTGGTTTATCTTTCCGAATACAACTTTACCGATACACTCAACTTCAACAATCGCGCTAAACAAACGCTATAACAACGAACGTCAATAATACTTCTGACCGCAGATCAATTACTCACTATCTACACACACATTACCCTCCCGCGTCACGTTGTCCCCTCTTATATATACCCGCCTACCCCATCTAGCAAACACTAGAGCATTCGCCAAAGTACATGATAGTTCTAGAAACGTTGCATCACACTAGTCATGTGACTCGATGACGCAACAGTATTATTACGTAATCTGAATTTTCTAGAAAATCTCCACACGCCTATAAATATAACCAACGCGACGCGCCAAAAAAGAGTCTATTATTAGTTTGCTATAGTCAGTGTGCGTTAAACTTCGGAAGCTATAACTGTGATTGTTACAACGCTTATCAATCGGAAAACTTCAGACATTTGACCAGGAGCATTTACAAAGTTCGAACATTACAAATCATTTAACTTCAGTGAATTCTCATCAGACATTAGTATTTTTACGAAAACATTACCTAACTTCAACAGTGGAAAACTCGGCGTGTGTGATTGGTGAATAACGAAGGACAAAGCTATCTAGCTCCCTGTTAAGTGAATTATACCTATGTCAACTTGTAATTAACTCGCAGATAGTGAACCTCCCATAAGATATCAAAGAAGTTCCAGACTAGAAAGAAGTATTTAGATTGCTTGTACGTTTGTGAAACTTTTGTTTATAAATTATTGTTTGTAATAACTGTTATTGTAAATTGTATAATTGTGTGTATATTAAAACGTATTTGTGTTAAAAAAAGAAATGTGTGTATCAATCTTGTTGGCAAGTATCGTAAATTGGATATAAATCGGTATATATTTCACTACTAAATTTAAAATATCATTTATCTCGGTTTCAGACCTTTCGAAATTGTAATAGTTAGATCTCTAATTCATAACAATTGAACTACACAACGTATTATTCGTAAACAGTTACGTAAGTAAATTTACCATAAAATATTGCTTCTAAAAAATAAATAACTGGCTAGGTGGTTAGGGCGCTCGACTCAAAATTCTGCTGGTCGCGGGTTCGAATCCCCATTCTACCAAACATGCTCGCCTTTTCAGCCGTTATAGGCGTTATAATATTACGGCCAGTCCCACTATTAGTTGGTAAAATAGTAGCTCATGAGTTTGCAATGGGTGGTGATGACTATTTGCCTTACATCTAGTTTTTAATTGTTGAATAAGGGATGGCTAGCGCAGATAGCCCTTGTGTGGCTTTGCGCGAATTTCCAAACAAACCAAATCTAAAAATAACTAAGTACGACACCCACGATATATAAACTATCTGCATCTAACAAAGGTGCATTGTTACTTAATGCACCTGATATGAGTTATCTCGCAAAGGCCATCAACACGCTAGCCCTAAAGTTCCCCAAACCACCAACTATAACTGCAGGAGCGACGCCCACTGGTGTGTCAATAATGAATGAGTAGATAGAGCTAGAGGTGCCAACCAGCTTCAATCAGCTGGTGATCAGCCTCCCCACTGCCCAACCAAAAAAGATTACGCCAGACATCAAACCCAAAGGAGAGCTTTCTACTTATGGGATAGATGACTGGCATCCAATGCTGAAGGACCATCAACAATCACCGAGCAACCGACAGCAGAGTTATTCCATCGATGAGATCCTCAGCTTTGATGACTGGATAGCTTCCAGTGACTTACACCCAGAAACAAACGTTTCGGTCAAAAATAATTCTGACCAAGAAAAAAAAGTGACTCACATTGCAGCAAAATAATGGTTCTAAAGTGCCACTGCTAAGAAGAAGCAGCCAGGGGGATGGAAGCCTTAATACTTTATAACCAAGAGAAATTTCAATTGATAAATTTTATAGAGCCTCTATTTCAGCTGGAAGAAGAAGTATATTGCTTCTAGCATGAGCTGTTGTAGATGTAGAAGGTCCTAGTGAACGCCTAAGAGATTATTTGCCAGACCAACCCAATGTACTGCAAATCCACTCCCGTAGGAAAGCAGCTCCAATTTGTCTAGGAACTTTTATAAAATTTGCATTTTACTTATTTATTTCCTTAAATTTTATAGATTATCATTACTTTATTGTATCATTTTGGTGTGTGTGTGTGTGCGTATATATATATATGTATGTATATATATATATTAATGATGTCAAAAGTTTTATTGTATGATTTAAGCATTATTAAAGGATACAAAGGATACTTTGTTTTATATCGTAAAGGTTATTTTTGTTTCTGTAAGATGTTATTTAAATATGTTAAATTTGAATAATAAAAGACTTATTCTGAATTTTATGTTTACTGTTAAAGAGATTGGCTTTTATACTTTAATATTGGTTTTTGTATGTTTTGTATTTAATTGTTAGGGTGTATTTGTGATTTTAAAATGATCTGTGCTTATTTTTATTTAACATTAAAAGGTTCATTTTATGTTCTTTTGAATTTGGTGTGCTTTGCTTTCAAATGGTTATTTGATAATATAATGCTTTATTTTTGTAATTTTGAGTTTTATATATTATCGTTGATGTATTTTTGTTGTTGTTTTTTCATCATCCCCCTTCTAAAAGGGATGGCTCACAGAGCAATCTTAACTGTGTTTTGTGTTTTACCTTATTGAGTTTTGAATTTTTTTATTTTTTATTTTGCATATAGAAAGCTGGTTAAAAGAACAACTAAGTTCATATTATCCTAGTTACATACGAAACTGAGTCATTCGACTAAGATGTTACATGAACTCTCTAGAAGGAAAAGATAGCTGGAAATTAGCACGTGTGTTACTAAGATAAATAGTTGTCTTATCTGATGGCAAGCCTCCCAGTAGCACAGCGGCATGTCTGCGGACTTACACTGCTAGAAACAGAGTTTCGATACTCGTGGTGGGCAGAGCACAGATAGCTCATTGTGTAGCTTTGTACTTAACTACAAACAAACAAATCATCCAACTTTCATAGCGTCAATCAGAATTTTTAATGGTTCGAATCCCCGTCCCACCAAACATGCTCGCCCTTTCAGCCGTGGGGACGTTATAATGTGACAGTCAATCCACTATTCGTTGGTAAAATAGCAGGCCAAGAGTTGGCGGTGGGTGGTGATGACTAACTGCCTTCCCTCTGGTCCTTCACTGCTAAATTAGGAACGGCTAGCGCAGATAACCCTCGTGTAGCTTTGCGCGAAATTCATTACAAACAAACAAACTGATGGTAAGTCCGGCGACACCTAAAGGACTTAACAGCACTTGTTCTGAAACGAGTACTTTCGTTTTCCTAAAAAATGCCATGATCTCTTAAGTATGGAACAAGATCTTAAGAATTTAAGTCAGTCTACGATAACAATTAATCTAAGGTAGAACTTGCGTCTCCCTTTACCATAAAGGAGCGTATTTTTAACTTTTTTTTTTTAATTTGAGTGTTATTTATTTTTATAAATGAAGATCGTATTACTGTGTACAAATTTGTATCCAGTTTCTTTCGTTCTTGCGTCAGGCTGAGTCAGAGAAATCCACGCAACTGCTTTACAATTAATTTTGACAAGCCTCTAGTTATTCTGCTGTTCATATTCGATTATTCTAGATGGACTTACAACGCTAGAAACCTGGTTTTGATACCCATGGTGGGCAAAGCACAGATATCCCTTTCTACTTAACTTCAAACAAACAATACTCTAGATGGAATCGGTGTATCTGAGAACACCACACCATTACTGTATATTAACATTATGTTTATATTGTTACGTCTCCGTTTGTTAATTGATTTTTTCGTAACTTCGTACCGACGAAACTTAAGCGACACAAGTCTTTACTTAATAAAACTGGTTTATTCTTTCCGAATATAACTCTGCGATACACTTAATCT